GCCCAGTCAAAACAATCACAGAAGAGTTAAAATGCCATTCCTGGTGAACAGTTACCCCAAATTTTGGGTCAAATTTCTCGGTAATGAAAAAATATATTAAAATATTCAAATAGTAACTTTGTGCCTACACTCAAGCTGAGTAAAATGAGCTATGTCTGAGGTGTTTTATCCTAAATTTGTAGGAGGATATACATTTGGCTGTTTCTATGGCAACGGTGTGCCAAAATTTTCCCTAATAACTAAGGTGAAAGTGTGACCTAACTGCCAAGTTTGAGCGAAATCGGCCAAGCCCAAAAAATCATTGAAGTAATAATACGTGGAAACACTGGAAATCACACACACACACACACACACACACACACACACACACGGATCGCCAATAACTACTACAAATTGATGTAATGATGCAAAATGCATGGCTGACTCTTCTTAGGGGGTTGTTTTGAAGAGAATCGAATACAAAGGAGATGTATATAGAAAGTTGCAGGGATAGAATATAGTGGACGTCAACATAAATAATTAGCTTAAATGTAAACATCGTTACTTTAGTGAAGGACTTGTGAAAGAACTGTATACATATAATCTGATGCAGTAAATCTGATATCCACGTTATTACGAACGTTCGTGTTATGTGCTCAAGATCCCAAATTATATTTCATTTAAAATGTTTAGTGATATACCTGGGTGTGGTGGTTGAGGTAATCATTTCTGGAGAAAATGCTACTAATGTAATTCTTGAAGAATTGTTCGGACACTGCTCAAATAAATGTTGAGGGTGGATGGATGGGTCTGTGTTTGTGCGCGTGTGTGTGTGTGTGGGGGGGGGGGGTCATCTGCTGACCATTACCATCTGCTCACTACTGTTCGTCTTTAAGTAGTTTTTATTCATCATAGCCTGCAACGAAAAGCGATATTGGTTTAGAACTCAGGTGGTGGCATAGAGACAAATTGTAAGAACGATTAGGTAGCAATCACTTGACTGACATTGAGAAATTTTGCTCTAGTTGTTTCAGGGAAACTTATGCTGTTTCGTTTTTTGCTTCTATGAAGTATTGTAATGTTTGCTTTATTCAAATTGGCGTGTACATAGTTGTTTCGCCAAATGTTGTCAAACCACCCTTCACTGTTGAATGTATTACAGGTGTATTACTGACTGGCCGGTAATTCTACTATCCCTAAAGTGGCACTGTGTAGCAGAGTGTAGTTTTGTTTAGTAGAATCTTCTGCAAATATTAAACAAATAAAAATCAACAGCATTACATTAGTTAATTTATATTTCTAAGGTGTCTGGAAACGTTTGTGACCCCTCGATTCTTCTTGCCTATGAAATATTATCCGCGGCTTCCATTTCGGTTCGTGTGCTCATAAGAAAATTTAAAGACGAGGGTCAACTCGTGGACGACGATCGGAAGCTGAAAGTAATAAATATTTTCAGTGCATTGTGTTCATTGCAAATATTCTTTCAACGAAACGACAAAATGCGGGTAATTTACATGTAATAGCGAATCATACATGTGATATAAATCCAATGGCAGTTAAAATGTGAAAAATGTATGACTGTCTATTATTGCACCAAATTCACGACTTGGGAATGTGTAAAGCGTGTAAAATCAAATCCTGTGTCCCGAAATTGAATAAATCAGTGAATGGATCTGCAGGCAGGATAATGCTCTCTGTCATTCAGTTGTATTTCAAATCTGTTCCATCATTTAATTGTGGGCTTAGATGACATATGTTTTTGTTGGTAGTAATATAGGATTTTATGACAACGGATTAACTTATTTTCAGTGTAGTTAATGATGGTTTTGTGAGAAAAGGACGATGATGTTACATGATAAAACACAATTGTTGATATAGGGCTTTAGGTTTTATTACAAGGGATTATCTTGTTTTCAGTGTAGCTGAAAGATGTTTTGTGGGAAAAGCATGGTGATGTTGAATCATAAAACAATACCAGATGGAGAAGTTATTCAAAATAGTACGTCAGCAAATAACAATCTATATAAAATCGAGTGAATAAATCTATCATTTAATATTTCAGCAGAAAAAGGCAACGATGTTACATGTGCTCGTGATTTTCGCGGTTACCAGTGTTACTCTAGCAGCCCCCAAAGAGATAGGTTTACTGCCTTATTCATCACCTCAAATGTATTCTACTATGTCTATGTCTACTAGCCATGTTTAATTTTCATATCAATTATTTAACTTTATTTGTGTATACTAATGTTATATAGTGTCGCCTACGTTTGCGTTGTCTTAATAGATACGTCATCGCCATTGACTACCATAAAAAACAAACAAAGCGCTGTGTTATAGTTCAATGTCCAAACCTCAATACCACAAAAGAACTTTATTTACTACTAATGTCTACCACCCATTTACTGTGGTGGCCAGTTTTACATACTTACATCTTATAAATAATGTAAACTTAAACACACAAGTTGAGATATGACGTTAAACATTAACAGAGATTGGAAATTGATTTTAGTGTGAATTTGCAAAGTACCATACATCCATATAATGAAGTGAAATAATAACGACAAAAAACATCAGTAGAACAGCCTGAGTTCAAAAACAAAAACAAGTACTATAAACCATTTCAACGGACAACTAACTACAAACTAAAGTTCAACATGCTTCTTGAATTTGAGCATTGATCCAAATTGATTTAGTTTCGTGTCAGGTGAGGTAGTCATATTATGTGTACCCCACCCCGTCTTCACCATTAGACCGGATCACGAATAAATTATTACTTTTAAACAAGAGAGTCAAAACGATTTAAAATATGGTCATCCTGAGAAATTAAAGTAAGATAAATGTTATGCTTGTTGGTCAGTAATGCTGGCGTGAAAAGCGGCGAATTAGTTGTGAAAACTTGCTTTTATTATTTATTTTTTGGTAAAATGACGACGACGATTTTTTGGTTAAATGAAAATTTTATTTTATTCAGTTCATCATTTGAAGGGATAGAGAATGCGAGCAAGTATTGCCTAAAAATAAACATGTTGATATTCTATTGTTTTCCTCAACATTGTTCTGCGTCGCGAAATGACGGGCTCGTCAATGACATCGGTATCTGCACTTGCATTGCACAAGAGGTTGTGTTACTAGACAATTTTGTGGCGTTCGTGGTAATCAGTTCTAGTCTTATTTTAACAGCTATTATGAGTCTAAAATTAGTGTCTATCGACTGTGTTTTTCCAACCAGGGCCATGCTTGTGAATTTAATTGTGGGTCAAATGTGAAAATGACGACAGTATCATTTTTATAAATTATTAAAATACAGACACATTTGATCCTGTCTGTAGATTTGCTGTCTATTCTATTCCCTTGATTTCTGTAAACTATTTCTACACATTTTTCTGATTTTTTAATATCACCATTACACATGATTCTTACAAAATATTAGATTAAACTTACCATTCCAATTGCAGAATTCATAGTTTATTTGTATGGCATTTATATTAAAAGTGCTTTTAAACCAGCCTTCGAAAATCTATTGACAGCTATCGGATGTATTATGAAGCATCGATATAGTCCTCTGATTTGTTTTAAAAGCCACTAACTGTGTGGCAAACACTTAGATACTTTTGGCAAGACAGCCACTGTGTGGGTTTGGGTACTGATCTGTGCCATTATATACAAACAATTGGCAGATTGCATGTTCCATGCTGAGGTGTCATTGTTCCCCGGTTTGAATATGGGAATTGATATCTGGTCTCTGTTCAATATTGTATTGTCAAAATGGCTTCTCGTCGTGCCTGACCAGATGCACAATAATAACAGTATTTCAGTGATACCCGGATTCCACTCGAGTTGTTTGGACTAATAATAAAACATCGTGTTACACCGTGTTGCATAATTACCTAACTGATTGTGTGTAGAATCAGGGGTTAACATTTGTCATGATAAATATGACATTCGTGTTTCATATAAATGTTGTTTAATACCACTTCTTAACGGATGGCAGCATTCCATCTGTACTGTACTGTTGGAGACAATTAATTTTGAAGTATATATTTCAATGACTTCTCATTTATTTATATGGTATGGTTTATACATGTGTCGTAAAATACAAATAAAATAATTTATGATTTAAACAATGAACCCTCGAATATTATTAACACATCGACCAAACTCATGTGTGTCGCACTGATATATATTTAAGTGTGTCTGCTTTTTGGTTGTTTACAGACGTTGGTTAAGAAGTCAGGTAGGTAAAAATATCGTTTGTAGGAATCATCAATATTGTAATATTATTCGGTAATTTAATTTAATTCTACATATCTAAATTACAGTGTATGATATCATGGCTCCATCTATCGCATCCGATCAGTAAATTATTTGCATTCAATTCAGGAAGTGTTTTTTTCTGATGTAACATTTTCGACTTAATTCAAAGTCTACTCAATGCCATTGTATTGAAATAATAGTAAGGCCTGTCAATCATGTTTGTTTACGTAGTTAAGGCCAGACTTTTTTATTCCTTGTTTCGCGAGTTTTTATAAGACAATTTTTTTGAGGAGGGCGAAAAAAAATTGAATTAATTCTTTTTTTCCATTAGATTGTGTGATTCTCAAAGAATTGTAAGTGAGATCATTGATCGGAGAGAAGAAATGAAATAAAATGTTATTCCATATATAACCTTGTTTCTCATCTGCGCTAGACTTCAGTACTTTGATCATGATACTCCCACGAAAATGCAACTCGGATTTGTTATGCGGCGGGCGGTTAAAAAATGAAGATAAAAATAATATTTTTTTTAGCATTTTTTGTGTGCTAACAAGTCGGCGGGCGCGAGAAATTACGCTGAAATAAAATTATATTTTTATTTCATTTTTCGGCTCCTGTTCATTCGGCGGGTTCGCGAAACAAGGGATAATAAAAGTCTGGCCTAAGCGTGTCATCAACTTAGACAGAAGAATTCCCTGTCACTTTTCAGCTTTCATACATATCAACAATAACGTTTTTCGTTATTTAGTACCACGGTATGAAGTAGTGAATGGTCCAATGACATGGTTTGATGCCAAAACAGAATGTGCAAATAGAGGTGGCGCACTTGCAGAACCACGCAACCAGGCGGAAAACGATGCATTAGTGGCATTGTATGTCTCAGGTAAGTTTGCAAACACGTAATTGTTTCTAGTCTAAGCGGCGTAGAATAACTGATTCAACTAATTAGTCTGTTTTATAATTGTTTTACAGTCCTAATCGTAATATTTATTTCCCATCTAATAATTTATTTTCACAAGGACGATATTGGCTTGGTATTACCGATGTAAACCACGAAGGGAGGTTCACGTACGCCAGAGACGATTCTGATATTGTATACAGTAAGTGGGATGTTGGTGAGCCAAATAATGGAGGGGGGGAGCGAACACTGTACAGAATTGTGGTAAGTTGATTATCATATGTGTTCATAACACGTTAAATGAACAAATGAGGAATTCATTATTTTAGTTTAAATAAATATTTGTAATGCAGAATTAACAAATTCAAATGAGGTTGCATGAGACTCACTAACAATGGAATAATCAATGGTAATTGTAGCTTTGCACATGGTCTTCATGTGAATGCATCAATCATTATTTTGTATTTTGTGTTAACAAAAAACACTTATATTAAACAGGAAAGCCGAGGGGTTATGGAATGATGTTCCCTGTTCCCTCAGCTTGGGACATGCGATCTGTCAGTTCGGTAAGTTTGGTGCTTTACATTACAATATGAAAACATGATTTTCTCAACAGACAAGCTAATTGAATTAAAATGTACCAAAACATTTATTCCATTCGATGCAAAGGTTTGTTTTTAAAGAAGAAAAGCATGTCGGGCAAAATGTATTTTGCCTTTACAGTAGGAAAACCAGTATTTTTAGTGTGGTTTGACAATTCCCAAACAAACACAATTAGTACAATATGAAACAGCTATAACATAAGATTATACACAGATTATTTAGATAAAAATGACCTTCGGTAAGTTGAGGAAAAACTTAATATCGTTTGCAATTGGCCCATTAATACCACTGACGATTGGTCAAAATTGGTTATTAAACAGCCTGGCGTTTCCCAAATTGACATTAAACTTAGTAGTTAGAAAATGCGATTTTAGTTTCCGATAGACTACTTAAATTTATATTTTTATGTCATGTATCTTACAATAGATTATTTGAGTTAATAACCATGTTTGTGATATATTTACTACAAAGATCTTTCCTATAATTGAAGTTGTCATTTTTCATGTCTTTTAAACTCATATATACAAGTCTAAAAAACCATGTACTAAATTATTAACTTAATACTTTCTATGTACAGTAATAGTTACTTTATTTACAATGCTCATCATACATCAAACGGAAAGTGTGCCATGCCGATCGTAATAGTCATACATTGTTTAAACAACACATATTCTATGTATTTTACACCAACTTCCAATGTTGCACTTAATCTGGGCTATATATTGAAAACGAAATCAAAATGACCATATATTGTACTTTTCAGCAAATTTAAATCCTGGTGTTCGTGGTGATCCTCATATGACGACATTCGATGGACGTGCATATGCTTTCCAAGGCACATGCTGGTACACACTTTTTAAAGACTGTTCCTCAAATTCTGGCTTCGAAGTTACTACTAAGTTTGAGTCAAGAAAAGATAACATTTCTGCAGAAATAAGAACGAGAGTTGTTTCGTTCAGCGTTACAGTTGGGAAGCAATATGCTGTTGTTGATGGACTGGAAATTTTAACAGTAAGTTTTAAATATGTACAAATTTGTAGTGAATATCATTGATGCTTAATGTGCGGAGGACATGAAATTAATAAACAAACATTCTAAACAATTTATTCATCACAGGGGCCGACTGATGAGCAACTGAATGAAACACAAGCAATTCATGTCCATAGAGAAGACAAACAAATCCTTCTGCACTTCACTTTGCAAGACACAACATTCACTCTGCAGTGGACTTTAAGAAACCATGGTCTAAGTGTTTCCTATTATGGCTCTGCTTACAACGGTAAACTATGCGGTTTGATGGGAAATGCTGACGGGAATCCTCTTAATGACTTTAAAAATCCTGATGGCAGTGTTGTACGAGACGTTGACGAGTTTGGAAAGAGCTGGAAATTAGAAGGCAAAAAGTATGTACTTGTATTCTTTTTCACAAATAAGTTTGACCAATTAGAGTGTGTTCAACGACTTGAAATAAACTCTAGACTAATATAAGTATGGCATAGGCATATCGTCTTAAAAACAAACTCGTCTTTGAAAAATTTAAATCAGGTCTCACTCCAGTCAAAAAACCTAAATATAAATGTGTTTGGTTTACCTACTTGCAGAAGAAGTCCTATTTTATTTTGCTTAAATTAATGTCCTTTTCAAACATTGAGCATACATGTTAATTCACAACAGGCATCTGGTATAGCGTGTGTTACCAATAGAAGCAATTTTGAAATTTTGGAAATTATTTATCGATAATTAAATAAAGACAAATTGTTCTGCAGTTGATAGCCATAAGCCCAGAAATTCGGAGTGACATTTCACAAATATAGTTTGGTTGGCAGTCAATTGGTGAAGTTGAGTTACAAACTTATATATATATATATATATATATATATATATATATATATATAGTGGGAACCACATGTTGTAACACAACATAGGCAGCAATAGACCTTATTTGAGTACGTCAATGGATGTATTCACTGGCTTTGTCTTATGAAAAAGCAATGGAAAGTATGAATTGTAGAGGCAGTATGAACATCACAATTTGTATGTATGCATATACATATGATAAATTGTCATTCTTTCAAAAGTTTTAAAAGTGTTGAACTAATTGATTTCAATATTTTAATGTTGCAGCTGTGACTGACATATCTTATGTCAAGAAGACTTGCTGCTCTCATCAGTTGTAGCTTATTCAGACAATAATTTAATGTTAGTGATGGTGATTATACTTTACTCAGCTCAGACTGACTGGATGCATGACAGGGAAAACATTGCATGTAAATCGTAAACAGTATATACTACATTCCAAACGGAATTGGTTTATTGGTACTTGTTGGTAGTTTAGTGAAATCATGTCAGTAGACCATTAAGTTAAATAAACAGCTTGCACAATAACAACTATTGCGTTTGAGTACATTTCATTTCTCTATTCATTTGAATTGTACCTTTCCACAGAGAACATTCTCCACTAAGCTATCAAACGACAAAGGCCTAACTGACTGTGCATCACTTTCTCTCTCTAAGTTGACATCAATCATAATAATGAAACTGATTCGACATATTCAAAGCGTCGTTAGTAATTGATAGAAGAACAGTCATTCGTAAAACTTGTATACAAAATACGCCAGCTATGAACTTTCAAGTGCATTTTTTTACTTGCAGTTTGAATTGGCCATCTGGCAAAAATGTCTAATTAAAAATTCAATTGATAAGTTGCAAGATAAGATTTCCCCATCTACAGACTGCAAAATTACATTTAATAGCCCTGGTCATCCCCATCTTACTTCTCTGCTCCCTACTCATTTAAGCATGGTTGTATGTTTACGTCAGTGGTGTTTAGATACCTGATTTTGTGAAATGGCCCAGTTTTCCATAACCTAGTGTCAACTACAGCTGGGTGTGTTATCAGCTTCACTGGTAATCAAGTACGGGTTACTTCTGACCAACCTCAATTTAAAGCAATTCATACCGCCTTCAACCACGGTGTATACAATATTTTGCACCAATGTCTGTGATCAATGTCAATGCATTTGATCGAACCATTGTAGAGATTGAATTTATATTTCCTTTATTCCATTCTATTGTATTCAAAAGTGATGTTTTACTCGCTGTATGTCACTATCATAGAAACACGGTACACTGACTTTCTTTAGTCTGATTCAAATCACTGTTGTTCCCCTACATAGCTGACATAAGTGTTTATTCTTATTGATGTGACAAAATCTATGCATTCTTGTACTAAGCCGTAATTTGTTTTAAACCCTACAAATTAATGTTTAGGGTGGGGAAAATTGAGATTAACCAACACTGTGGTTCGAGTGCGGCAGTGCACTAACATTAGTTTTGTGGCGAATCTCTAAATTGAACAAATTGTTATCAGTGGTTAATTTGGTAAAACGTGGTGAGAGGCCAATTGCATTAGCGGGAGAGGCTCGATTTTATCAGTAATATTAGAGCTAAACATGGACATCAATATATCTGTCATTACTATGGTGATCCTGCATTAGAGCAGCATTTCATCAGTTACTAGGGTGACATGGCTAAAGTACAGAACTGTTCACTGATGGGTATGGTGAACGGGAGCTTCATTGTATCAAAGATTAGGTTGGAAGTAAAACATTTTATCTGTGCTTGAAGTACTGCTGTCAAAGTCGAGTATCATCCATTGTATGATGAGCAAAGGTTAAGTAGCAGAAACTCATCTATGGTTATAAAGACAAAGCTGGTTAATGGTGGTGAAATTGGCTTAGAGTAGCATGTTATCATTGATTACAGGGGTGAAGCAGAGATGGCTTAGCTGTTGTCACATGTTGAACAGCCTGAGGACGAATGCCATTCTATCAAGGAGGGGCTGGGTTTCATTCTATCAGTGGATATTATGAAGAAGCTTGGAAGGTCCACTATTATGTCAGCGTTTTTGGTGCTGAGACTGAATGAAGAAAGCAAACATGGGGTGAAACAGCATTATATTATTGATTCCATTGGAAAAGCTGAGGTGAAGTTAGATCACAGTGGCAATGCTTGCTTTACCATTGATAACATGTGAGGCCTGATAAACAAGTGCTACTATCAAAAAGTAACATAAGTAACATAATTTATATCGACCTACAGCAACTAAATTATAATCAGTGAGTTTTTAATGTAATCAAATACTTCAAACTGAGTATTCTCTATGTTGACTACGGAATTCAAGACAAACAATTTTGATGAAAATACATGCTATGGCAGTGAACATAGTTGCACTCTTTTATGGGTTGTTGGCAATGAAACATTGCCCACAGCAATTAAAACAATTTGGTTTAGTATCATATAACGTTCATAATAATTGTGGTAGTTCTTTTTGCAGGATGTATTGAAAGTAATATGTGCCATAAAAGCATACTTTAATGTAATAAGTGTGAATAACGGTACATTAAATATATAGAAAAAAGGGGCACTAAACCCCTGTCCTGAAGCGAGATATATGCGATGTTTTTGTGCAATGGTTTGTTCTACACAACATCATACTCGGTTTAAATGGAAACTCTGAAACTGTTTTGTACCTCTGGACAATGATCCGTGGTACATCGTGGCCATTTCACAATGTAATCTCATCCTTACAATTAATTAAATAAAAATCTAGTTATTAGTCTTATTTTTGACTCGCTGTTAACGTAATTCTGTACTATGGTATTGGTGATATATGAATTGGGTGCCATAGGATGGTACTTGATGGCCAACCAACCTAATCAAATATGCATCTTGCTTTGTACGAGTGCAAAATAAGTTATTAGGAAATTAGGATATTATTATATTAGTACCAGCTGTTTTATACGCATGCGCATTGGCCGATCTCAAATCAAATCTCGTCGTCTGTTTTGGGGGTGTCTTGTCGATGTGAAATTCCTTCCGCTATTGGGTGACGGAATTAACTGGTGTCTGTGTGAAAACTGCTGAAAAAAAAATCTTGTCCAGAATATGATTTTAAATGGCCGAACTTAAACAGATATCAGTCTCGTATTGCAAAGCATGTTTCCGGGAAGGAGAGGTATCGAGGTGGCGTAGCTTGTCATGGTGAGTAGATTTCCTCTCAGGACGCCGAGTTGGGCGTCGATACCGAGAGGGAGGCGGTGAATATGGTGTCGAGCGACCAACATAGTAAACCAAACTTAGAACTTGGGATACTGGTGCAGACGACTATGGTTCAACAACCATGAAAATTAAATGGCGGGACTTTGGTGTTGCACATTTAGCACAGAAATAAAAGACACGCCAACAGTTGGACAACCAGTCATTTTATTATTGGTCACGATGTACCTCGGATCATCTCCATGTCCTTTGTGAACATACACGATGTGCTGCCATCCAATGACGGGATGAGCGGCTTCCTTTGTACACAATCAGCGTCAATTCCATTTGCTAAGCCAGACCGTCTGGTGGCGCCCTACTAATTCATCAATAAACCAATATACTAAGTAAACTTCGCATGCACAAATATCATATAAAATAGGCCTAATATACTAATGTTGTATTTATTTAATTTTAAGAACGAGTTTACATCCTGGAATGGCCATGATGTACCACGGATCGACAATATATGCACAGGGATGTTATTCTAATCTGCTTAGAGGCGGCCTCTATACAGAGTTGCAGTTGCCTTCAATTCAGTGGCTTCCACCCATTTATTTATATATGTCCTTGTATTATGTATCATCTAATCAGAGTCTCTCCCCAATGTATATATGCGTGTCCATTTCATTAGTGTGCATGACAGGCATGTCTTTCCTCAAAAGCAAAACCTTCCCTAGATTCGCCGAAAGTTGGTGTTCACCAATACGGTAAATATATTTCGCAAATTATTACATCGTTCACGTCCTCATAGCATCATCTAGGTAAGAATATGTTCGAAAATGACATACATGTATTTTATATCAGTCTACCTAGATATTCCCTGTTTCAACATATAGATTTGCCATTTCAGGATATATAACTCAAGACTGAACATCTTAAAGTATATATCAGGTATAACAAAAAACTTTCTGGCATAATCTCTGCTTAAAATTCAGTTACAAAAAAGTATATATGAGCTTTAAATCCCAAATGTATATTTCCTTAGTGATGCTACCACATGGTGAACAAACAATTCATACACCAACCTCTATTATACCATATTTACGAATGGTACTTTTTCTCAAATGATCATCTACTACGTTAGGGCTCCTACTGATTGTGATAATTGTATAATTATAGGTCAGAAGATTAATTCCCATCTAATCATTATGACGTTGTTGGACCGATCCCAGTTTGTGAAGCATATGTTCTTAGTACAAAGATTTTGTTTTAATATATGGTTCTTACTAAGATTATTAGATAAAGTTTATTTCATTATTTCAGAATCAAACCCCATATATACAATTAAACCTTGGTAAATTTATATTTTATAGTTTTCAAGTACGTCAGCTTATGCTTGAAGAGAACACTTAATTATGCAAATGTTATGTATTATGATTTTATATTTGTTTTTCTTTACTTGTTTCTGCGACCATTCCAATCTAATTTATTATGTATTTATTTGTATCTGTACATAAGGCCAATGGCCACAGTACGAAATAAAAGATATATATACTAAGATTCATTTCCAGTTGACCAAAATCAAGTTGTTGATTTTGTTTCTAATGTATATAGGTCTTGAACTGTCTCATTTTGGTAAGATTGGTCAGGGGGTAGAGCGTCAACCTCATCCCTAACAGTTTTCACTTCTCCCCTCCCAGCTTGTGACCCCAAAGCTCTAATCGCGTAAAACCACACAACATTATGGAAGTTTTGCAATAAGCCTAATCTTCTCACGGAATTCAAAATGTCTGTAAGAGTTTTCTTATTAGATTTCAATTTTGTTATATATTACATTATCTTCTACATAACTTTCCACATCTTCCCCCACCCCTCGGAATATGTTGCAGAACTATTGACTAAGTAAATGAAGAGGAATTATACTGAAAAGGGTGACATGGAATAAAGTCTGTTTTTGCCGTTGCATTGGGAAATTTGTCAAAACTCAAATAGTGCCCCCCGTACTTGTGTATGATTATTATTACTACTATTATTAGTGCAAAATGAATGAGTTGCTTGTATTTACCGGAACAACTGAAGATGCAAAGAGAGAGC